GAGAGACCAGAGGGAGACCAGGGAGAGACCAGAGAGAGACCAGAGAGAGCCCAGAGAGAGACCAGAGAGAGACCAGAGAGAGACCAGAAAGAGACCAGAGGTAGACTAGAGAGAGACTAGAGAGAGACTAGAGAGAGACCAGAGAGAGACCAGAGGGAGACCAGAGAGAGACCAGAGAGACCAGAGAGAGACTAGAGTGACCAGAGAGAGACCAGAGAGAGACAGAGAGACCAGACCAGAGAGAGACCAGAGAGAGACCAGAGAGAGACTAGAGAGAGACCAGAGAGAGACCAGAGGGAGAGACCAGAGAGAGACTAGAGAGTGACCAGAGAGACACTAGAGACCAGAGGGAGAGACCAGAATGAGACAGCTCTGTCAGATAAACAGGGGCTAAACCATTTAACTATTTCAAAATCAAGCATCAGAATATTAAAAGTAAAATATAATTAACATTTATAGATACTTATGTAATATTTGATCTGAAAAATATGAGAAAAATATATAGTAATACACAAACAAATATTGTATCTATTTTTTTTTAATCTTCACATAGAAATGATATTTGTTTTTAGCACACCCCAAAGTCACAATGGAGCTTGTCGGTGCTTTGTCCCCCAGTTTGAACACAGCTGAAGATGCATAGAAAACACCCTAATCTTCAAATTCAGAGGTATTTATTGCTGTAAATACGACCGAACGCTTGTTGCAGAAAAGAATGACTGTGAATACCCCGCAACAACTTGAGGCGTTCTTACTCTGGGACGCCATTTTAAGCCGTTTGAAACCAGCAACGTAAGCACAAGCCTGAAAACAGTCTGCGACAAAAGGGTGCATCGCTGGAGGCCATCTCTTCAATAAAACATCCCTCGATTCCCTGCGAGAAATCCAAAAACACAAATCCAACCGGGGACGGGATTAAAACAGGGGGAAAGAAAGCCACCTAAACGCCAGCTTTAAAACGGCGGCGTGAGAATCCGACGGGTGAAAAGTCTTGGCACTTAGCCCTTAACGAACGACAATAGCGTTAGCCTTTTGTGTTGCTTTTGTCGAATTAAAATTTCAACACAAGTGCGCTGCCTGGGTGATCAGAGTGTACGTAGCCGGCTGTTGTGGCATATTTGCGATGCCTGAGTGTGTTCAGGTCACCGGGAAAACAAGCGTGCCGAGGAGATTCGCTACAGCGGTTTAATGGAGGCGGTTCCTGGAGGAGAGAATGTGGAACAGCAGGACAAAGATAATGGAGGGATACAAGAGGGATGTTCTTTCTACTGCACTCACTGTCACCCAGAGTCTAAAATCTCCACTCTCCGCATCTGGTCTGACGGACGTTCTTAGATTCGGCATTTTTTTCACATTAGAAGAAGGAAAAAAAGATTTGTTCATTGTGAATTCAATGCAATTTTACAGACAAGTCAACGGGCTAATGCTAGGCTAACTTTTAGATATATGCAGTAGAGAGATACTTTATGGATCCCCTTTAGAGAAATTCAGAGGCAGAAACACATAGGACAAAATACTTCATTAGTATTGTTATTTACTATCAACTGTGATGTTTTTGGACGAATCAGACAGATCCAATCAACGTAGGATAAACATACGTACCTGTACATAAGAAGGAGCCCCGTGAGTCACTATTGGACCCTTTTGGACTTGTGTAGGAGCCAAAATGTACCTTCCCCTCGCCACATGGTCGTGCTGTGGGCGTTATGTGACCTGAGCCCATTTTTCATATAAAAGGAGGGGCCGATGGCACAGACTGGTTGCCTCGCTTCTGTCAGTGTGCCCCAGGGCAGCTGTGGCTACAACAGTAGTTTATCACCACCGTGTCTGGGGTGAATAAACAATGACATGTAAAACTATGTAAAACCAATTTTATTATTATACTCCATGCAACTCAAAGTGCGTATCAAAACAAGATGGACACAATTACGCAAAAATCATAATAATCTATAAAAGAAACTAAAAACGTTTAAAAGAGATAATACAAATAGTAAATCATGTAGCCTTGGGGTGATGTGATCGCCCGTGTCCGTACGTATGCACACAAAAAAACGGATTGGTCGAGGCTCTTGGCGGGGGTATGCATGCTCCGAGGGCCAGTTCCAGTTCCCAGTGTGACGTCCTGAAAGTGTCCCATGGAACCAGTTATGAATCACACTGGACTATTTTATCACCCTCCGTTCACGGCTCAGAAATGATCCTCGAAAGTACGGTGTGTGTTTATCGCAGAATAAAAACGTGTTATTATTCGCTGGTTAGAAAGCGACCGGTGAATCACGTTTCCATCTCAAACCGTTCTGAAGCAGTCGTTGCGGCCAAATAATATTGTGCGGAGAATAATAAGGCTCCGAAGTGTTTGTGAGCGACGGGAACAGGTTGGACTTTGTTATTGTATTTGTGTTTTTTACAGATAGAGACTCAACGCCTCTTGTGCACAAAACACACAAAGTACAGTAATAACAGACAAACAGAGAAAGGAAAAGGTTGTGTTTATCCAATTCTAAAATCTAATTATTGAACATGGCACCGGGTTGTTGAGTCTCGCGAAATATTGAAAGCACATTTTGCGACGCACAATGTTCACTGCAAAAGAATTAAGAAAAAATAAGGAAATTAAACTTGAATTGAATGGGACACAGCTGTCTTATTTAAATAACTATTTATAACCCTAACCCTAAATGCTCTCATTCCAAGGGAGACTTTTTGGTAACACTTTAGATTAGCTCTCACTATTTATCAGATAATTATGTGATAATTAGTTTACCCTAATCCTATCTCTAGCCTTGGCCTTAGCTGTAATCCTAATCCTAACCATTAATCCAGCCCTAATCTTAGCCCTAACCCTAGCCTTAAACCTAGTCCCAACCCCAGCCTTTACCCTAACCCTAATCCTAACTCTAGCCCTAACCTAGCCTGGTCTTATCCATCCGTACACTCCGCTCAATCATCATTTCACTGCATGTGACGTCTGGGTCTGGTCCCTGTGTTAGAGATTACAATTACAAATTCAACCGACCAATCAGAGAGCGCGGGAGGCGGGTGTTGTAGTTAGTTGTGGGTGACGTCAAGAGTTTGCGTCGAACGGGCAGGTTGTGGTTTGGCAATGGCGAAGAATGTGTTAGTAAAGTAATCCGGTCTGGTTCTATCAAGAAACTGAAGCCGAAGCAAGAGGAATGTTTAGCAAATGTAATCGCTGGCTCTGTTAGCAAAGGAGATGGCTAAAGCTAGGCTAAATGCTAATTGCTAACGACTCACTCGGGCGCACTACAAACGTCACGGTAAACTCAGATCCAATTGTTTCAATCTGCAAAAGGAGTTAGCCCCTCCCACCTGTTAACGGAGTCAATGGAGCAAATCCAGACCTTAGTACGAAATGTATTTTGTACTATGGTGTGGTACGACCAGGGTAACCCTAACCCTAATCCTAACCCTTACCTCAATCGGAGAATTCCACATGGTCAGTCATTTGTTAGATGTCATCACTTCATTATTTCATTACTTTACTTCTTGTTTCTGTATTATTTATTCTTTGTTTGGGAATAAAACCTTGAAATGTGCTCTGGCTACAGCATCATTTTGTTTCCCATCACAGAAAGAGAGACAGAAAGAACATATAAAGTTTTTTCCGTCTCTCTGGAGCACAGCGAAGGTCGACCAGTGCTTTTCTGACTGTTTTGAACCTCTTCAAATGAATGAATGAAAAAGTGCATCCAGCTTAAACCAGGAGATAACGCTTGTAAAATAAATAAGTGTGCAAAAAAACATTACTGGAACATCTCATTCTGAACAACTCTGAAAAGTGTTTGGAAGGTTCAACATGAAGAAATCCTTTTAATCATCCCACAGTGAGAATTATCAGTGTCGCAAAACCGGTTAGAGAAGAATGAGGAGCACACAGCAAAAGGTTAATGTACAATAAAGTTAATAATAATAAAGTTTTTCATCAAGCCATAACCTGAGAAACTTATTGGAGTCAGTTATTATCATTATTATTATTATTATTATTATTATTATTATTATTATTATTATTGCTATTATTATTTTTATTATCATTATTATTATCATTATTATTATCATTATTATTATGTTATTGTTATTATTATTATTATCGTTATTATTAGTAGCATTATTATTGTTATTATTATTATTGTTAATATTATTATTAATGGTATTGTTACTATTATTGCTATTGTTATTGTTATTATTATTGTATTGTTATTATTATTATTATCGTTATTATTATTATTGTTATTATTAATGTTATTGTTATCCATTCATCCATACATTTTCTACCCTTTAATCCATTTCTGGGTCAGGGGGGTGGCAGTCAGAGATGCCACCCAAGTCTCATAGCACCAGCCCCTCACTGACCCTCTGCAGGTGGTGAGTCCACAGGAGGACGGCTGCTCTCTGAGTGTGAGCATAGCCTTGATCTTTCAGTGGGGGCTTTGGGCAAAGTGGGGTTAAGTGTCTTGCCCAAGGACACAACGACAGCAGTCATCAGTGGGAGTCGGTGGAGAAGGTGTAGAGGTGGGAATTGAACCCACAACCTTCAGGCCTGAAGGCCAATGCTCTACCCACTGAGCTACTGTCGCCCCTGTTACTATTATTATTATTATTATTATTGTCATTATTATTGTTATTGATATTATTATTGTTATTATTATTATTATTATTGTTATTATTATCCACCTGTTGAATCAAAACTTCTGTTCCCCGGTGGATAAAAACTGCACTATCAATCAATCAATATTTATTTATAGAGCGCTTTTCCTGCAACACAAAGCGCCTCACAGTCCACACCACACAAGGCACAAATCATCACCACTAAAAATACAGTTAAAAACACAGAGGTTTTTAACAACATTTAAAACATTAAAAACCATTAAAAACACACAAAGAGTTACAATAATAAATAACAAGGTGTGTTAAAAAGATACAATTCTTCAGTTGTAAACACAGGAAAGTCTTTTTTTTTTTAGTATTTAACCTGGACATACATGAACACACCATCCTCCCTCACTCTCCCTCATCCTCCCTCTACCTCCCTATCCCTCCCTCACCCTCCCTATCCCTCATCCTCCCTCTCCCTCATCCTCCTCATCCTCCCTCATCCTCATCCTCCCTCATCCTCACTCTCCCTCATCCTCCCTCTCCCTCATCCTCCCTCATCATCCCTCTCCCTCATCCTCCTCATCCTCCCTCATCCTCACTCATCCTCACTCTCCCTCATCCTCCCTCATCCTCACTCTCCCTCATCATCCCTCTCCCTCATCCTCCTCATCCTCCCTCATCCTCACTCTCCCTCATCCTCCCTCTCCCTCATCCTCACTCTCCCTCATCCTCCCTCATCCTCACTCTCCCTCCCTCTCCCTCCCTCATCCTCCCCCTCCCTCCTCATCCTCCCTCATTTTCACTCTCCCTCATCCTCCCTCATTCTCCCACTCCCTCCCTCATCCTCCCCCTCCCTCCTCATCCTCCCTCACCCCTCCCTCATGCTCCCTCATTCTCACTATCCCTCATCCTCCCTCTCCCTCATCCTCCCTCACCCCTCCCTCCTCCTCCCTCATCCTCCCTCATCCTCCCCCTCCTCCCTCATCCTCCCCCTCCCTCCTCATCCTTCCTCTCTGTTAGTAGAGTTGTTGGATTTTCATTAAAGTGAATTAGAATATATTCAAAGTTTAGACAACTTTGGGTTAACCTACTTTGTGGTGGGATGGAGCATTCTCTCCCATCCCCCAGGCAAGAGTGAAAGAGCATAAGTAAACAAGAGCAGAGTAAATAAGCAGAAAGCCGAAAACATCTGTTTTCAGTAGATCTCATGTTTATTTAGAGGGAAGCCACGTCTTCTCTGAGGGAGAGGAAGGTGGGACATATTGTCACATGTGTTTCAAATTATCAGGGTATAAGACCAGAGCTCTTGGTCCATTCTTGGTCACTCTGCTGCTTTCCATCCAGCAGAGACCCAGACTAGACTGTAGTCTGTAACTTGTCTGTTTGTGCTGATGTCCAGATAACCTGTAGTTTTGAACCAGCGGCTGACAACATGTATTAAAGAGATTATGTTGTTGAAATGTGACTAGTTATTCACACTCTCCCTCCCTCATCCTCCCTCCTCATCCTCCCTCACCCCTCCCTCAGCCTCCCACTCCCTCCTCATCCTGCCTCTCCCTCCCTCATCCTCCCTCCTCATCCTCCCTCAGCCTCCCACTCCCTAGGAGAGGAGTAAAAAATGATACTTTGGATTAACTTAATCAAATTGCTGTAATTTGTTACAGGCAATTTGATTAATTTTTCTCAAGTAGTATTTATCATTTGGCTAAAACCATACATTTCGATTTATTGTAAATAAAAAATAACTTATTTCCAACAAAAAAACACACTTCAATCTGAAGTAAAAATATAATTTGTAACAAAGAACTGAGTACTCGTTTTGCTTTGATACGACCTTGTTTATTTACTTTAGAACAACTTAATATTTTCACTCAAATCAATGTAAAGTTTTCACTTCGAGAAAACAGTCATTTCAAATTAGATTAAGCCATTTAATTACTTTGTTTCAAACATATATATTTGATTTGGCTAAAACTACTAATTTACATTCATACAAATTAAAATTATTACTTGTATTAAAGAGATGATCAACCTAATTTTTGGCTTTAGCTTAAATTGATTTTTTTAATTTTGGAAAAACTAATATTTTCAGTTTTTATTTCAAAACTAGAATTTGTACTTTGAAAAAAACTATTCTAATTGCTGTAATTTTGTTACACGCAATTAGATTAGTTTGCTTCAAGTTGAATTTCTAACTCAGAACAAACTATCAGATTTGATTAGAACAAAGTCAATCATTTAGGTCAAGATCATTTTTTGTCAAACGCCAAAGTTTTAATCAGTTTCCTTAAATAAAAAGACAAACATCAACTTACAAAAAGGACTGATATTTATTGTGATGCTTGTTAAGTTTAGATCACAAACAGTACAAGCATGAACAAAATTGTCCTTTGAATTTCTTTTAAAACATGCTTACAAGTCAAATAAAATCAGGGACATCTTTTTTTTACCTGAGATGCAACATTTTACCTGAGATGCAACATTTTACAAGCTTTGCTAGATTAACAAAATAACTGAATAAAGTGCTTAAAACACTGATCACAATACCAACCAGTGAAGCCGTAAAATATGTAAAACTTGGGATATGTGATATCTGTTAAACTGTTTAAACATGTTACTATGTGAAAAAACATTTGGTTTAACACTAGGCAATATTACCATGACATATTTCAACAGTATACTATCCAGAAGCATTTGCTGATGTGCCTGTTAGCGTATTGTACTGGGTCGACCGCATGCTCTGCCGGCCAGTGGTTGCTGGAGAAAGTCCCATGTTTGAAAGTTAAAAGGTGCCCTAGTCTTCTTTATTTCTATTGCTTCTTTGATCCAGGGTTGCATTAATTGGGTTCCTGATTGATTATTGTTTTTGTTGTCCCAGTTAGATAATTATTGATCTGATATTGCCAATTAAGTTAGGACAACTTAATCGGCAATATCAGATCACGGCAACCGCAAAAACCATCTCATGGACTGAGACAGCACAAGAATCAACAATCAGGAACCCACCGATCAGAGAAACAATAAAAATGAAGAAACAATTGAGACAAGGGCGCGTTCCAACTCTCCCAAACATTAGACTTCCTCCAGGGACCATTGGCCGACGCATTCAGCCCTGTACTCTATACAGGTTGGCTGGGAGGAGCAGTTGATAAGGCACATTATGTGACGTCACAAGACACATCTGAGGAAGGCTAAAGCATCTATCGGAACATTTCAGGTAGAAATATCGATAACTTAAGTGAGAAAATTGAATGGCGAGTAGTGCGATAAGTCACCACTATTGAATAACCAAGACGAAACTGTTAGAATAAATCTTACAATCTATTGAAACTTTACATTGGTTCGTCGACCGCGGCCCGTTGGGGTGTGGCATACTACTGGGCCGACAGCGGCCTCTGCTGGGGTGTGGCATACTACTGGGCCGACAGCGGCCTCTGCTGGGGTGTGGAGTGCTGGACTGACAGCGCCTCCTGCTGGGGTGAGGAGTACTGGACTGACAGTGCCTCCTGCTGGGGTGAGGAGTACTGGACTGACAGCGCCTCCTGCTGGGGTGAGGAGTACTGGACTGACAGCGCCTCCTGCTGGAGTGTGGAGTACTGGACTAACTGTCTCCTGCTGGAGTGTGGAGTACTGGACTGACAGCGCCTCCTGCTAGGGTGAGGAGTACTGGACTGACAGCGCCTCCTGCTAGGGTGAGGAGTACTGGACTGACAGCGCCTCCTGCTAGGGTGAGGAGTACTGGACTGACAGCGCCTCCTGCTAGGGTGAGGAGTACTGGACTGACAGCGCCTCCTGCTGGGGTGTGGAGTACTGGACTGACAGTGCCTCCTGCTGGGGTGAGGAGTACTGGACTGACAGTGCCTCCTGCTGGAGTGTGGAGTGCTGGACTGACAGCGCCTCCTGCTGGGGTGAGGAGTACTGGACTGACAGCGCCTCCTGCTGGAGTGTGGAGTACTGGACTAACTGTCTCCAGCTGGGGTGAGGAGTACTGGACTGAGAGCGCCTCCTGCTAGGGTGAGGAGTACTGGACTGACAGCGCCTCCTGCTGGGGTGTGGAGTACTGGACTGACAGCGCCCCCTGCTGGGGTGTGGAGTACTGGACTGACAGCACCTCCTGCTAGGGTGTGGAGTACTGGACAGACAGCACCTCCTGCTGGGGTGTGGAGTACTAGACTGACAGCACCCTCTGCCGGCCCTTGAGAGTCACATGTTTGAAAGAGATAGAAGGCACCCTCGTCTCAATTCAGTTTCTGCGCCACGCTCCTTGATTTCTATTTCTTTTTTGATCAAGCATTTGTATTTATGTTATTCCTGATTGATGATTCTTGTGTTGTCCCAGTTAGATAGTTATTGATCTAATATTGATGATTAAGTTGTCCTGTCTAGATTAGTCTCAATTCAGTCTCTTTCTTGCAGAGACTAACTAGACATCTGCAATATCAGATAACTGCAAATGCAATAACCATCCCATGGACTGAGACAACACAAGATTCAACAATCAGGAACCCAACAAATAACACTGGATCAGAGAAGCAATAGAATGAAGAAACAATTGAGACGAGGGCGCATTCCATCTTCCCCAAACATGGGACTTCCTCCAAGGACCATTGGCCGGTGCAGTCAGCCCAGTCAAACACCCCAGCAGGAGGCGCAGTCAGCCCAGTACATTATACCCCAGCAGGAGGCGCTTTCAGCCCAGTCCTCCACACCCCAGCAGGAGGCGCTTTCAGCCCAGTCCTCCACACCCCAGCAGGAGGCGCTTTCAGCCCAGTCCTCCTCACCCCAGTAGGAGACAGTCAGTCCAGTCCTCAACACCCCAGTAGGAGACACAGTCAGTCCAGTCCTCCACACCCCAGCAGGAGGCGCTGTCAGCCCAGTCCTCCTCACCCCAGTAGGAGACAGTCAGTCCAGTCCTCCACACCCCAGCAGGAGGCGCTTTCAGCCCAGTCCTCCACACCCCAGCAGGAGGCGCTTTCAGTCCAGTCCTCCACACCCCAGCAGGAGGCGCTTTCAGCCCAGTCCTCCACACCCCAGCAGGAGGCGCTTTCAGTCCAGTCCTCCACACCCCAGTAGGAGACAGTCAGTCCAGTCCTCCACACCCCAGTAGGAGACACAGTCAGTCCAGTCCTCAACACCCCAGTAGGAGACACAGTCAGTCCAGTCCTCCACACCCCAGTAGGAGGCGCTGTCAGTCCAGTCCTCCTCACCCCAGTAGGAGACAGTCAGTCCAGTCCTCCACACTCCAGCAGGAGACAGTCCAGTCCTCTACACCCCAGCAGGAGGCGCAGTCAGTCCAGTCCTTCATCCCCAGTAGGAGGCGCAGTCAGTCCAGTCCTCCATCCTCCAGCAGGAGACGCAGTCAGTCCAGTCCTCCATCCCCCAGCAGGAGACGCAGTAAGTCCAGTAAGATACCACACCCCAACAGGAGGCGTAGTCAGCCCAGCACTCCATACAGCTTGGCTGGGTTGACTATGCCTGGGAGGAGTAGTTTATTAGGCACGTCCTGTGATGTCACAAGACGCTCCTGAGGAAGACTCAAGTATCAGTTGAAACATGTCAAGGTAATACTATCGCCAACTTAAGAAAAGTGAACTAAAGGCTTAACTGTTGAGAATATGGAATACAATCAATTTAAATTGGAACTTAACATCGGATTGCAGTGTTTATCATTGAACAGTGGTCCTTAATTTCTTTCAAGCTCTATAAAAACAGAAGAAATACAATCTTCTCAAATATGTCACAGCTTGACACTGAGGCTGAGCACTTTGCGCATCATTTTCTTTGGATCTATCTCCATAAACAACTTCTGTAGTGCTTCAAACGTGTGTTTCAGCTCACCTGGATAGCTTAGGTTCAGCACATACATTAGACCAAACAGCATGGCACCTGCATGTGCGACTGATGGCAACATGTTCAGGACTTTAACACCGTCTATGACAACACCAATCTCATGTGGTTGAAGAGAATCATCCTCTTCCCTGATGACGAACACTGCCATTGATGCACGAGAAAGTTCCATCTCCGCTTCTTCCCATTGGACAACCTGAGGAAATAAAATGTACTCTAATGTTCTGACAAGGAATGTACAGGGTGCCCAAAAACATTCAGTATTTTTTGGCTACCTCCTGCTAGTTTGAAGTGATATCCATTGTGGTTGAATATAAAATTATGTAAAAAATAACTGCTAAGCCAAAGCCCATTTAGGAAAGTGTGTTTAACTTAAAAGAGCAAGGAGTATGAACATTGTAAGTTATGTGTGTTTATAAATTGTAATAAACTGCTACTATAGCCACAGCTGGACACACTGCCAGAAGCAAGGCAACCACTCTGTGCCATCAGCCCCACCCACAACCAACCATTCACACACACACACACCAGACTCATTCTGTGGGGGAAGTGTCTTGCCTAAGGACACAACCACCACAGTTTGGCACTATACAGCGACCCACTGTGGCAGCTGGCGTTCCCAGAGGTCTCCCATCACAGAACTAACCAAGCCCTACCCTGGTTATCTTAAAAAATATGTCAGGATCTGGCTTTCACCTGCAGGTTTGGCCATACAAAATACACATTTGCATTGATTCAGGGAAAAACTACTCACCAGATATTCCTTGAAGAGTTGGTCTAGGTCTTCTCCAAGGTAAATAGTGAGACATTTCAGCAGACACTCTCGCTTTATATTGGCATCAAGGCTCTAGACAAAAATTATGACTGTTAGGACTCCAAATTAATTGACATGCATCCCCCTCTCCTCTCCAAAAATGTTCTTATTTTAGTAATTATTCACTTAGTGGTGTGCTCCGCATTCCTACTGTAACTGGCGAGGCAACACTGGCAACACTGTCCCACAGTGGGGAAACCACTGTGGGACAAATAAAAGGATCTACATACCCGATCGAGAGCTTGAAGAAGCCTCTGGGTCTTCTCTCTGTTAACTCCTCCCTTCCTTCTAATGAGCTCTATCAGCTTGCTGTGGTGCCTGTCCAAAGAAGCAAGGAATCTTGTCTGAAGCGGAACAGTTGTAATCCTCAGAAATTCAGCATTGATCTAGAAAAACACAAGAATGATTACAAGAGAGCTAAGCAAGATTGTGATATCAGTTTTCAAAAAAACTCTGCATGAATAACATATCCTATGCTTTACATGTCACTTCTATAGTTCAACATACCTCATCCACCGTGAATAATGCAGGCCATCTTTCTTTCAATTCTTCCACTCCCAATTGCTTTTCCACTATTTCCTGTCTTCGTAGTGAAAACGTTTTGGCCATTTTAGCTTTTATTACTGCACGATTGTCTCTTTTCTTTACATCCGTTAGGAGGGATAGTCTCTCATTTTCAAGTTTTTCTGGAGTTTCTCCACTTGGAATGTCAGGTATGTGGTTGGCTTCTCCCCTCTTTGGCTTTTTTTTTTTTGGCTGGCAAGGCATCCTCTGGGGCTTTGGACTTTAATGAATTGGCAAGTAACTCTGTACAACCAGTTCCCTTCAGCAAAGTTCGATAGTTCCCCATTTTTGTCTTTAGCCGCTGCTTCCAACCATAGCAGCCATTGTATGAACCAGGTTCAGAAAGGCATGGATGCTTCTGGATTAGAGCTTCAGCAACTTCACTGAAGTCAGAATCTGTCGGGTATGCTTTGAACTTGAATATTTCTTCAGCAATCCTTTCCAGAATATTGGACTTTGTTTTTGTACTGTGTGTAAACCGTGTCTTGCTAGACTTATACTCTGCATTTCCTTTTTCTAACTGCAGTTCAGTGTCTAATGAAAACTTCGGGATTAGAAATTCTCTGGGCCACGTTTCAGATCTTGTAGACACTGAGCTTGATGGTGAGGACATGATCTCTGTATCATCCGTAAAGCTTGAAGATGGAAGAGATTGTGCATCCTCCAAGACAGAAATGCTACATTCATCAGTTATTGGGACGACCTTGATGGTTGTCAAATCCTCAAGTTCAGCTGTAGATGTCAAATTTATGAATGCATCACCAAAGTCTTTGTCTTGGTACTGTAGTCTGAATTCTCCATTCAAGCCACATACGTTTCTGACTTCATCCATGAGTTTCTCCATCGATTTTGGTATTCCATCTGGCAGAATAAGCTTCCTGGTGTCATCAGGCTTCAGAAAGATTCTGAACTTGACCGACATCTTCACTGCTGTCTTCCAAAGAACCCTAAGAAAGCAAAATACAAATTAAATTACAAAAATGTATTAACTCCTGTTAAAGCTTTACATGTCTGTGTGTCAGGTCTACAAGAAACAATAACCCTCACACAGTAGACAAACCAATGAAATTCTGCCTCAAACACCTCCCTCCATTTCACACACTATAGTTGTAAAAAAAATCTATTGAAGCTCAAGTTATTGATATATTTTTTTAAAAGATCAATGTCAAATTTTATTTAGCAAAGTAATTGAACTTATTTTACACCCCAACCACAAAAAATAATACAAAACTGGCTGCATTAAAAATATATAAACTAAAGATTAAGATTAGATTATTCTATTATGTTTAGTTCAAATTATGATTTTATTATACTATTATCAAATTAAAATTTTTAGTATCAAATCATGGATGAAATTTTGGATAGTGATATAGTGTGCAGCACACTATATCACAGACTGTAGGTGAAGTGACTTGCTCAAGGAAATATTGTATATTACACATTTGTCATTTAAAAAAAAAAAAAAAATCACAATCACAAATATATATATACCACCTTATGCATGTATGTATCTCTTCAGAGAGATGAGACGCCATCCACCGACCATGTAGTAATTCAAAGGGTATTGATCCATCAGTTCATGCAGGCCAACAAGCTTAAGCACCCTTGTAGTTGGCATGACCAAGTGATAAGCTCGATAATGTTCCAAGTACCAAGCATCCAAGGTTTTCACGATGAAAAGCAGTGTCTCTTGTTCAACAATCATATGAACAATTTCACAAAACTCTGGAAGTCCACTTAATGATCCATGAGTTAAAACCATTCCAATCTTGTAGTTTAATCCATTGTAGTAAACATTTTTTGTGAGGTTTGCAGTCTCGATTTGTGGGTACTTCTCTTTCACTGCGCATGTTATATCTTCATTTAACACATCAATGGGCAACGTTGATACCTCACTGACCTGCAAGGGAGGTTTAGGAAACTTACAAATGTGTAGATTGTGGGCAGTCTGAAATTGGTGTCTTTGCGCTAGTGAATGCAAAACATTTTTGTAGCAATTTGTATGACGCATTACTCTCTTGAAGAAACTATGTTTTGCTTCATATCTCATAGTCCATAGTCCAACAAGCGGGCCAAACTGACGAATCAGCTGGGGATAATGCTCCAAATAATGATGTTTAGGACGAATTTTTTCACGAGGGAATTCTTCTTGAAATACTGTCCTGTGTTCTGAGATCTTAAAGTCTAGATAACAAATAGAGTCCTCAGTGTGAAAAGGTGCAACAGCCAGTTCTACAATGTCTTTCAAATCACAGAGCATTTGCCATGCTGGGTCATCGGCAGGAACTTTGTCTCCAATTAAGAGGGGAAGAAATCTTAAAAGGTTCCAGTTCTCGTGCGCATTTCCTCCAATTGTTCTCCTTGTTGTGTAGGTTTTGGGAATAGGATGGGGACGGTTTGTCTTGTCAGCCCATTTAAATGGAAACGATGTTATTGCTTCATTCAAATTTGACAATGTGAAGTATTTTTTGGAAATGAATACATTAAGACAAAGGGCAATCTCAACAGGTATAATCCCTTCCAGCAAATCATGGGCAATATCCGGGGGAAAACTTTGTGTCACATTGAAATACGAAAGACTTTCTGATAGCACACACGTTGTTTTTACACCAAAATGATTAGTCAATGCATTATCTTCAATTGTTTTAAGATGAGAATTATGAATTTCCTTGGTCCGCAAGCAAAATTCTCCAGAGTTCACTCCTTTTTGCTTGAATGTCTGAATTTTCTGCAGTACAAAATCTGCAGAAGTATCTACCAATAAAGTTCTCCACAAATCCTGCAATACTGTGTGCACCAAGATTGTCTGCCAAAACACAATGAACAAAGCCTTTTACATTTTTCCCCAATTTAGCAATATACAGTCCTTGTTGTTCCAATATAACTAGGTCCTGTAATAAGGGCTTCAATACAGTGTCATAACCATAACATTTAACATCATCACTATGAATAAGTGCAGCTAAATAAATATTAGACAATGAGGAATGACAGCTAGCAGGTAAGTTACCCAATGTCCAATATAGCCCACAGACCTTATACTTTTTTCTGGAGGTGCCGAGGGGATTGCAGATTTCAAAGTCATCTACATACAAAAAAAGTGAAATGGCACACTCTTTTGACAATTGCAAATTCTCTATGTAATTATTCCCATCATAAAATGAATTGTACTGATGTGACTGAATCTGATGGGGACTTCTCAAATTAATGGCAATATCCAAAAAAATATCACAACTTAAAATCTGTTGTAAGGATTTAAGTATAGAGATGTATTGGAATGATTTTTTGTTTGAGGGGTCAAGCACAAATTCAACAGGCTCAACAACGTCAAAATGTTTTAAATAATATGCCTTTCTCTTCCAAGCAGTGGAGAGAGGGCCTGGACTTCCAAGAGAGGCAGAGATGGGATGTGATTGACAGAGAGCAAATACTAGGTCTTTTACTGCAGTCTCATCTAGCTGACTGTTACCATCCTTTAAGTAATGAACAATGCTTTGATGAATAAGAGGGACAGAAGCAGTGCTTATTAAATGGTATAGCTCTTGCAAAAGTTCATCAATAGCAACACCAGAAACAAGATAAACGTGTTCCAGCTTCAGCAGAAGGGAGGCTAGTTTGTGTTCAACACCATGTCTCAAGCCAATTAGATTTTCTCCATCAAAAGTTGCATCATTGATACAATCAGAACTGAATCCATCCGAAGGCTCTATGTGGATATGATTTGAGTCATTTGTTTCAGGAGAACCTATAACCGTTTGTTCAAGAATTTCAGGCTTTAAATCATTCACTGAATTGTCCTTATGATTTCTGCTTTTATGGGTTCGAAATGAGGCATAAATATTTGTTTTGTACAAACAGCCCTGAAAGACACAAACTACTGTTTCACTGTTCAGAAGATGATGAGAAATGTGTTTGAAGTAGTCCTTTAACGTTGAGCTTTGATTGCAATAGCACAAGAGACATTTGAATGTGGTTACTCCAGATGGTGAAGAAGCTGGATGATGTCTGGACAAATGAGTCAGAAGTGCCTTCCATGTCTTGCAGGTACATGGACAATTATAATGGATGCAAGGATAGGAATGGCGGCGACCATAGTGCCTGTGCTCAAGTTTATAATGTTTAAGAAGCTCAGATCTTCGTGAAACAGAAGTACCACAATCTTTGCACTTCCACATTCATCAGAAAACTATGGGAGAAATATACAACAACAAAAACTGAATTAGACATTTGCAGCTCAACAATCTCTCTTAATGTAGGATAATGCTTTTGCATAAGAGTAAATCTTTCTTGGTAGTTATATCTTCAGGATGACTACATTCATTAAACCGGCTGGATATTAATTTAACATGAATGTTTACATCATAAATTACCCACAACTTTTATGGATTTCAGTTCTGCCATTCATATCTGTGCTGTCCTTGGGCAAGACACTTTACCAAATATATGTACATGAACAAGTGGAGAGTTGGTCTACATCAGAGGTAGTCACTGGTTACATTAGTAGCTCAGTATTATCAAAATAGTTTAGTTAACAGCCATGGCATTTATCACTTAGCATGAAATTAGAATATTGTAAAATAGTTTTACACTACAGGTTGAATTGCAGATGATTATCATAGTCATACCGTACATCTATACAGATGGACAATGCTAACTTAATGAAGCCAAATAGGCAAAACAATTAGTCAAGTTAGTTCTAAATCGGTCTCTTCTGCATTAAGACTAACACAATAGGTGGCATGAGTACACTGGTTCGCCAATCCTTACATACAGTAAATGATTTCATACAAATAATGTTCACTGTCTTGTGTGCATGTGTGGATCTACCAAATTCTGTAGCGGTGAATGCTTCCAGAGGACACCTGTAAATACAGAGACAGTGGTTACGACAAGATAGAGTACTTAAGGATATAGTATGTTGTTTCTTTGTAATCAGACCTTGTTCCCACTTGGCTACGCTTGAAATGCATACAATTTAATCACCACAAAAATAACGTATCTGTGATCAAAGCTATAGAACTACTTTGTTGCTCTATCACTAGTTTTTT